AGTATCAGTCTTCTTTCGTTGTATACAAGTTGTTTGAGCGTGTTTTCACAACTTGGTCGTAGTTGCAAGAAGACCTAGAGGAACGCACCTAGTCCGGAGTCCATAGTATGCATTATACTTTCCAGAGTAAGATCGTTCACGTGATACATTCCCAGACATTTCGCCGGCATCATAGTCAGCATCGTCAGTGAACATTGCCATTCTTAGCACCACATTGCAACTCATTCAAACGAAGCCGATCCTTTGACCAATTGTCTGCTAAACAATTGTGGTATCTTTCCTTTCGCCCTGGCTAATCACCAATCCTATATCCTCGTATCACCACCTCACTATCATAATTTTTACTTGCTTATTTAAATGTGGCGTGGTATGCTCTTTTTAGCGGATTTAATGAAAACTTTCCAAACCCCACGTTGGTTTTCTTACCTCCCAATTTGCATGTGCTGAGAATGTTGATCAGAGTCTGCCATATTGTTCCGAAATCCTCCTCCCATGGGTTTTATCAGAGTCTCCCTCTTACCCCGTAGGCTCCATCTGCTATCGCCCTGGTTTCATTATTTCACTCGATCCCATCTGTGCTACTCGAGGTGTTATTTACCACACTTTGCCTCTGAGAGACTAACGTGAGGCTAAAGACCCCGAGTAGTTCTCATGGTCAAGCCTTTGGTTCAGTGATCACGTCGATGATCAAACACGTCTACTATTAGCCGACTAGCTCTAGCCTCCGCCGCATCTATCGTGCTTCTATCCATAGTGCCAAGCCTATGACTTCCTATGTCATAGCCTCTTGTGCGCCAATCCACAAATTTTGTGGTTCTACATTAAACCTAATCAAAACAAGTTTGGAAAGTTGTCATGAAATCCGCTAAAAAGGGTACACCACACCACACCACATTTAAATAAGGCAGTAAAAAATTGTGATAGTGAGGTGGTGATACGAGTGTATAGGATTGGTGATTAGCCAAGGCGAAAGGATAGATACCACGATTGTTCAGCGGACAATTGGTCAAAGGATCGGCTTTAATTGTCTCTTTGACGAGTTGTAGTTTCGTGCTAAGAATGGCAATGCTCACTGACATTCTATACCATGCCTCTCGTCGCAGGGACAGAGCTCTTTGTGCGATTCTCAGTTCACTCGGAGGCTGCATATATTTATTTCATTATTTTGGCTCAAACTCTTATAAAAGAGCTTTCTTCTCTACTTCCTTTGCTTCTGCAATGGATAATAATCGACTTTCGGATGACCTTCCAACCTGATATTGCATCGCTTAGTTTAACTGAAACAACTCTACTTTAAAGGTAGCATTATGATAATTTTAGCAGTTTATCCGAGGTATTAAGGTCCAGCATTACTATGTGAACTCTATTTGAGCTGGGCTATCAAATGATTACTGTGGCTGATAGCTATTTTCATTTTATCAGAAACTAATCAATGGAGAAGTATTTACATCGACAAATGCATTAATTCGTGAAAGAACTTGAGATTATTTATTCGGTTTAATATGTTTATCAACTAATAATAATACTTGAATAAGTACTTAGTCATCCTAAGTCGCTTAAGGGGATTTTTAGATTGATGATGGAGTTTTTTATACTAAATCACCCTAAGTGACCTAGAAATACTAAATAAGCTTTGTTCAAGAATTTCTGATAATTTCACCATATACTTAAAATTGAACATAGGGAACGTCGATTTTAATCGCAAATAAATGTTTGTCTCGTCAAAATTCCTAATAAAAGTGTGATTTTTTGAAGGACATAGCTTGCATTGAAAGTTATAACTGCGCTGTGACTCACTGACACTCGCGACTGCTTGGCTTAATGATGACGTGTTGCCTCAATTTATGTTACTAGGTTTCGAATCCCTTTGTATGATAAATATTTTTGGAGGTTAGCCCTAGTGAGATGCAATGACATTAAGAGGCCTAGTCATATCAATGTAGGGAAAAATCTGCTTTCAGCATTTAATTTGCCTTAAGCGACCTAAGTTCTTATCCAAAATTAAGGCCACTTTTGGCTAATAGATTTTCATTTGTTTCGTGGTCTAGTTAAATTCAACTGGAAATCGAATGAAATTAATCTCCATTCGCTTCATATTCCCTGTGCTTATAGTCTTCTTAATGGACTAGGGCAAACCATTCTGTAGTTATCAATATTTTTCTTTGCAAGACGATAAGCCCTTTTAAAATAGTTGCAGCATAATTTCATGTCAATCTTAAGCCCTATTAAATTATTTTTTGTTTTCTCAACCAATTTTGCATAAAAGATAAATATTTGAGGTTTAAAAAAGCATCTTCTTATTTTACAGTCCCTCTTGGTCTCGTGGCTAAAATGGTCTGGTTACCTGATCTCGGACTTCATCTTGGAACGACGCAAGGTTTTTTGCTGCATGTTGACTGGCCCGCTGACGATCAACCTATAAGAGTCCGTCATATTAGCCTGCATGCACCAGTTGGTGAACCGGCATTTAGTCTTATTGCTCAGTGGCCAAGTGGTTTGTGTGATGCAAGTATGGCCACTTCAGACAGAAGAAGGTTGGACGGTCGTTGCCTGGTTTACACATTAGGTAGAGGTTACGCTGACCTGTGCGAAGTACTAACACCGGGTCAAGATTTCCAGTGCCCTGAGAAAGTTCATTCGAAAGCCAGAATAACCACAGGATCTAGGGATTTCTTGATATCATTATTTCACGATAAATTCGTGTAATCGCACTCTAGATAACACATTATTTTGAATGCATATCTTAATTCTGACGCCTGAGTGCATTTCTGACGGCGAAACCTTAATTTTGCTGTTTGCATGCGCAAAACCTGTGATGTGTAAAAATTTTCATATTTTAATTTGCCTATTTTTTTCAGATCTCACATTTTCCAGCCCTTCTAAATACTTTCCTTTTGGGTTTTCCACACATTGGCTTCCAGTGCCTTATGCTTATCTACATTTTATAATTTAACCTGAGAAACATTCTCATACCATTTATTCCTCTCCAGGCAGGAAATAGTTATCTTAAGACGAATAACTTTTGCAGACGCTTTATTTCAACCCTAATTTCGCCGTTTCATGGCCAAACGATTCCTCATAATGTTTCTCTAAAGCATTGAGATATCCAGGCTACTCGAATCAAATGAATCATGTTTATACTCCATCGAACTATTTTGATGACCATAACTATCTATTTGAAAGCAGACTATCTTAACTCAAATCTGCCATTTTGTCTAATCGTTTCTTTGATGTGGAGAAAAAGGCGATAACAATTTTGTCAGCTACCATGTATGATATAAACCTTAACTATGGCCTGAACCTTTAATAATTGCTAATTACCCGGAAAGATCATGCGTGATTTTTTTATGAAGTAATTGGTTCAAGAAACCTACGTAATCGCTTGCTGGAATGCGCAATATGACCTGACTTCCTCTCATTCCAAAATTAGATACAATCCAAAAGTTTGCTTCCCCTTATTTGTATTTATGAAAGCAATTTGCATTAAATTTAAAATTATGATTGTTTTCTTTATTAACTGAACATATATAATCATTGAAGCTTTTACAAATGATAGGTATAAGGACCAAGATGGTGTGGCCTTTTGTGTGGTCACAGTCTATTTCGTTATATAGAAGTTGTTTGACCTAGTTTTCGCAACTTGGTCCTTTTTATAGGAGGAGTTCATAGTATGCATGGTAATTTCCAGAGTTGGACAGTGGACGTGGTACATTCCCAGACGTTTCGCCGGCATCGTCAGTGAGTGTTGCCACACTACAACTCGTCAGATAAAAGGGATGCCGATCCTTTGACCAATTGTCTACCAAACACTTGTGATATCTCTCATTCTACCCTGAACTATTCACCAATCCTCGTATCACGTCTTCACTATCACAATTTCTGAATTACCTATTCAAATGTGGTATGATGTGCCCTTTTAGCGGATTTTATGAGAACTTTCCAGACCCCACGCTGGCTTTCTCACCCCCTCAGCCCGCAATCGTCTTCTAATAGGTCTTATCACAGTCTCCCTCTTGCTCCGTACGATCCACCTCCTACCTTCCTAGTTCAGGTATTTCACTCGATCCCTGCCATCTTATAGGTACCACTTGAAGCGTTATTTCCCACACTGGCTCAAGCATTTGATGGCACGCATACTCCCGCCTCGCTGAGTGTGCCCCTAATAGTCGGGATTCTCAAGCTGGATGGGGAATTAATTTGAGGCAAAAGAGCCCGAGTAATTCTCATCGTCAAGCCTTTGCTTCATGGATCACGTCTATAATCAAACACGTCTACCGTTAGCGAACTAGCTCTAGTCTCCGACGCATCTATCGTCCTTCTATCGATAGTGCCAAGCCTATGACTTCCTATGCCCTAATCTATTGTGTTCCAACCTCCAAATGCTGTCATTCTTCTTGTTTTGACTAGGTTTCATTTAGAACCACAACATTTGTGGGTTTTGCACACAAGAGCTATGGTATGGGAAGTCATAGACTTTGCACTATATGTAGAAACAAGATAGATGCAGCGGAGACTAGAGCCAGTTGGCTAACAGTATACGTGTTTGATTATAGACATTGTCCATGAAGCAAAGGCTCTATGATGAGAATTACTCGGGCTCTTTAGCCTCAAGTTGGTCTCTCATCCAGCTTGAGAATCCTGATTTTTATGGGCCTACTTAGCGAGGTGAGAGTATGCCTGCTACCAAAGGCTTGAGACTTTGTAGGAAATAACGCTTCGAGTAGAACAGATAGGGTGGCAGAGGTCGAGTACAATACCTGACCCATGAAGGAGACTGAGACTCTCGAAAGATAAGGTTCTAATCATGTCGGTTAGGATAATTTTAGGCATTTTAGTCTTTTGATTACTTGCTCCATGTTTTTATATCAACCAAATTAGTCTTACAAACAATATCTTAAAGTTTTGGCCCACTTTTTTTATATTTCTATTTAATCACTTTCAAGCGAAATAGTTCATAACTTAGTGTAGTTGGGCCCTCTCCTAGTGATGCTTAGAGCATAGGACTTCCCCAATAAT